ACCTTAAGGGGCGGCCTGTCCCTCCTTTATATTCCTTTCCGCAGCTGCACGGGATAACGTACGCACAATCTTTAGTCATGTTCTCCTCTATGGGGGGGGTCTTACTCGCGAGCGATATCTGCGGTGTCGTCAAGCTTTTGATGGTTGTCTTGATGTTACATGACCCGCAGATCCTTTGTATTTTCTCCGACAACCCCATCACATAAGGCAGGCAGTCTGTTTTCTGAGTGATGTTGTCCTCCTCTTGTACCCGCCTATCCCAGATTATTGGGCCTGCTTCCATTTACCCAGGGTAGTTGATACGTTGTAGGGTACTGCTTATACTGACCAATTCTTTATCTAATGTCTGGGTCGCCACTTATGACTTTTGCTCGGTGTTGTAAGCAGCGGACGATCCCTTTCTTTACACTGTATGGATGGTGGGAGTTGAAACTGAGGTACTGCCCGGTGAATGTCGGTTTGCGATATACTGATGTCTTGAACCTATGCTCTGTTCGAGATATTAGGTTTTAAGGTTAATATCTGGGTTGAATTTTTAAATTGGGTTTAAAAGAAGACGAAGTGAAACTAAAGGAAGGCAGAAAAATGTTTTATAAAACGAAATTATTATTAATTATATAACAAAAAACCTTAAACTTGCTTTTCCTCAAAAAATGTCACAAATATATTTATTTTATTTTTGCAAGATTTTAAAACCGCTAATTATATGTTGTTTACAAATGTCTTAAAATGTTGAAAATTGGTGACTTGTAATTGATTATGTGAAAGCGAGCTAATAATTGTCATTCCGATTGATATAATTTCTATTTGTAATACATCAGAATATTTTGCTTACTGTTAATAGTAAATTTAATCGTTTAGCTTTCACTTAAAGTTAAAATGAAATATTCAAAAAGGTTTTTTAGTTTTTTTAAATATTCATTTTAAACGGTAGGTATCGAAATTTCAAGGGAGGTACATGGTTTATAGTATGCACAAAACAAACTAAAATAATAATGCTGCCATATATTGTCTGTTCAAAATTTTTGAACAATGTCTGTATAAACAAAACGAAAGTTTAACCTGACCCTTTGTTAAGAAATGCTTGTATATTACTTTTTATGCTATAAGTAAGTACTATTTATTTCAGTTCGTATCGTATTGTAATTATCTCCCTTCGACCTCTACTCTCTAGAGATGGAGATATGAAAAGGAATCATCATGGCGTCTTCGGAATAAACGCTCGTGTGAATTAACCTCCGCTTCTGTGACATACTTTATCTTCCCATATGCTCGGGAACATTCATTTCCCGGCCTACTATTTTCTCCAGAATTATCCACCCAGGCGTAACATATTCAAATAAGATTAATTTAACTTTGAATTTGATAATTTTATTCAAATAACCTGTCACAATTATATTCTCTAATTTTGGAAGATTTTTAAAATCGATCATTTTTTTTTTGTTGTTTTTTTTTCTTTTACAAATTTATTAAAATTAAGGAAATGGTCACTTTCAAGAAAATTTTCTGAAATCGGCTAAAATAGTTGACATTCCGATCTACATAATTTCTATATGAAATACACCAGAATATTTTACTCACGGAAAATAGTAAATTTAATCCTTTAGCTTTCAATTAAATATAAAATGAAATCTTTGAGAATGCTTTTTTCAGATTTAAAAAGTCATTTTAAAACTTAAATATCGAAAATTCAGTGGACGTACCTAGATTCCAGCGTCTCAAATTTTGCCATTTTTTATATGTGCCTATGAATTGACTTCAGTAGCGCTAACAAAATATTTACACGTTTTATGCTAATTTCATTCATTTTAGTTTTAAATTCAAACATGGTAGAAAGGAATAATAATTTTAAAAAATAATTAAAAATTTACTTTGGTCTTTGCGCTTATTAATAAAATGAACTTTCTCAAGATATAAATTTTGATTTTATTAAGTTTGTATCTTTTTTTCCTCATGCTATGTTTCGTTTTTTTTTTTTGTTTTTTTTTTGGCAAATTATTGAACATATCTATGCTATATCTTATGTCTGGTAAATATTTTTTGAATGACAAATTTCGTATACAGTGGAAAGTTTTAACTGATTCGTCGTTAAGAAATGCTTGTATATTAATTTTTTATGCTATAAGTAAAATTTATTTCAATTTTATCGTACTGTAATTATCTCCCTACGACCTCCACTCTCTAGAGATGGAGATAAGAAAAGGGATCAAATGGCGTCTTAGAAATAAACGCATGTGTGAAGTAATCTCCGCGTTTGTGTCATATTTTATCTTCCAATATGCTCGGGAATATTCCTTTTCCAGGCCTACAATTTTCTTAGAAATTATCCACCTTGACGTAACAATTTCAAATAAGATTAATTTACCTTTAAATTTGCTAATTCTACTCTACCTATTACAAGTATATATTTTATTTTTGGAAGATTTTTAAAACCGATAATATTGTTTGTTTACAATTGTTTGTTTGGCCAATTTTAAGAAACTTTTCTGAAATCGGCCAAAAAGTTGAGATTCCGATCTGTATGATTTCTACGTCAAATGCAGCGGAGTATTTTACTTACTGGAAATAGTAAATGTAATTTCTTTCAATTAAAGATAAAATGAAATCTTCAAGAATGCATTTTCATTTTTAATTATTCATTTCAGGTATCGAAGAATAAAATTACTTTACAGGATAAAAAGTCATAAATATTTTTGCTTTCACTTTCACTTTATACTTTTACCGTGTGTAACTGCCGGAATGTTGTTTGGGGAGCTGTACAATCTTTCCAGATGTGTCAATTCCACGAGAGAGTTCAATGTGAATCGCGAAGTAACGTTACATTTAAAACCAAATTTGTCACTTTCCATCATCACCAAGCGGACCCTGAATTTTCGCCTGTCGTAATCAAACGCTGCTCTCTCAGGGAAGTCCCATGTTTTATGCGCCGACTGGGACTTAAGCTCAACCCAGACTGAGTGGAACTCGTATATATGATCCATTGTTAAAGATGCTGTGAAAACGTACGGTTCCCTGAACCACTCCAATAAGTACCAGACTCTTCCTGCTATCCTACTTTTACAAGAGCCAGATCAGATCGATAATGGAGTACTGCTGCCATATATGGGCAGGAGTTGCCCTGTATTCACTTTCAAGCTCTAAACTCTAGCATCAGGATTGTCCGACGGGAGAATAACCTAGGCGATTCAAACAAACATGACTCGCGACAATTGACCATACAACCAAACATGCACGACTGAAGGATAACTATCCAACCTATAGATTGAAGAAACTATTCAGTCAAAAATTTTCTGAAGATAACCAAAAATGACATAGACCAGAGAAAAGGCCGAAGAATTATGGCCATAACTTTCAGATTGTAACTACAAAAATGAGGATATTCGTCCGACTGTAAATAGTGTAAATAATTGTTGTATCGTCGAGGTGAATGATAGACAGTGAAGAATGCGTGGTTAATATATTTCCTCACCACAAGTATCCGGTGCTAAAGGATCCATAAAAAAAACACAGAACAATAAGTTACAAGAACAATTAACAAGACAACTTACAAGGAATAGAGGAGGGTCAAACCCTGTATAGCCAAACGAAGTAAGATCAATCCGAATATTAATCAGCTTAGTGTCAACTTATTAATCAGCTGTTGAAGTCCTTGATCGTAAATTATTTTAGTCTTTGAGACAGTCCATTTGGTAGAGGACTGAAGGGGTGCTAGCTAATCTACAACAATAATGAAACTCCACATTCCGGAAATTCGGACAGAAATTATAATATATGTTTAAGAAATAAAAATGTTTTGAATTTTGAAGGCATTATCAGAGTTTGTCGTTTCATTGGCTTCATTTTGTCTCGGATCAAAGGGTAATATCTGTTTTTTTTATGTTCACATAACCTTCGGGTTTCGCTTACCTTTCTCTTATAGATGTAGAGGGACGATCACAGAAAGATTGAAAGACCACTGGTCGCAACCACTGATTGACAGGCAAGTCTCATAGAAGTCTGTATCGAGTAATGGGTCTAACTGACACCCGGTGCTCGATTTTTCATGAACTTGTGGCAGACTGAAGTTTAAGATACAATGAGACTCTATCGTTTTCATTTATTTGTAATCCTGTCTCTTTTTTTTTTTTTTTTCTATTTTTCATTCCTTTTTTTTCCTCAAAGACACATGTCACAGTGAATATAGGCGTTAGTTAGATCCAGTGACAGGGCCCAAAAAGCACGGTGGATAAAGACGTTAGGACCAAAAGAGTGTGACCTCAATACCCGGTTAAGGCAGGGGAGAACTTGTAGCGGGGAATTAACAGGAGATAACTGCCAACTGACATCCATTAAACATGGCACTAGGAATTAGAACAGTCTACCCCAGTGAGCGAAATAAAGTGTTCAGTTCGACATTCCAACCACCTGAAGAAGGCTGGAGCGTATAACGACCGAAACGTTGTAATAGATATGGCGACAAACATGAGGACAATAGTCCGAATAATGTAAATAATGTACATAATACCTCATTTCAGAAATATAGATAGATACTGAAAGGCCGAAACGTTGTAATACATATGGTGACAAAGATGAGGACAATTGTCCGAATAATGTAAATAGTGTACATAATATCTCATCTCAGAAATATAGACAGATACTGAAAGGCGGAAACGTTGTAATAAATATGGCGACAAAGATGAGGACAACTGTCCGAATAATGTCAATAGTGTACATAATACCTCATCTCGGAAATATAGACAGATACTGAAAGGCTGAAATGTTGTAATAAATATGGTGACAATTGAGAACAATTGTCCAAATAATGTAAACAATGTACATAATACCTCATCTCAGATATATTAACAGCTACCGTTTTTTTCTTGTTTGGATTTGGATGATTTTATAATACATTTTTTTTTATTCGTTCGCTTTCTTGATTTTCTTAAATTTCTTCTTTTTTTTATTTATTTCCTATTTTTTTCTTCCTTTTTATACTTTGATACTTTTCCCTCTTTTCTTAGGTCCTTTCGGTTTTCCCCCTTTTTCATTCTTTTTTACTTATGTCCTTTGCCTTTTTCCTTTTCTTTCTTTCTTCTTTCTTTCTTTCTTTCTTTCTTTCTTTTTGATTCTTTGTTTTGTTGATTCTTTTCATTTTAAGCCTGACCTTAGGGGGAGAAACCGGTGTCATGGATAGCGGCTCAGATTGAGGAATCGGAGAGCCGAATACTTTTTATATCTACTTATGTGCTAATCCCTTTGGGAAAGGTTAGAATTCTCTTTCGCTCCCTCCAGCCATCGCTAAATAAAAGGACAGTCTGGGTTCTGCTCTACTGCAAAAAGAAATGGCAACCTACTGCGGGAGAATAATCTGCCTCGTCAGCCATGTATCGAAAGATACAAGATTACCTAAACGTGTATTACACATGGCACGTAACTGATCGACCATTTCTTTTTCGTTTTTTCTTTAGTCTTATTCCTGCTTTTTTGTTTTACCTTTCTTTTTTATTTTCCCCATTTTGTTTTCTTTTCATTCTTTTTCTTCGTTTTTTTTTGTTTTTGTTTTTGTTTTTTTGTTTAAACTTATTCTTTATTTATTGCTTTTTGGTTCGTTGCTTTGTTGATTCTTTTCATTTTAAGCTTTCTCTTTTTCCTGTCTTTCTTTTTCACTTTTTCTTCCTTTTTTCTTTAGTCTTATTTCTGCTTTCCTTTTTACCTCACCTTTTCATTCTTTCTTCCTTTATTTCTTGCTTTCTTTCTTTCTTTCTTTCTTTCTTTTTTTTAGTCTTATTCCTGCTTTCCTTCATACCATTGCCTTTATTTTGCTCCATGTTGTTTTTTCTGCTTTTAATTCTTTTTTTCATGTTTTGTTTAGACTTTTTCTTTCTTTCTTTCTTTCTTTCTTTCTTTCTTTCTTTTTTCTTTTACACACTTATATGCATATAGGACCCGTTGTGGTCCAGTATCTCGCAAGCTGTTCTCCGTGAGTTTAATATAGTGTCCTTCTCATATACACTATCTATTTTTTCTTAAATGTCTGCATTCAATCTTTTTCTTTTCTCACGTATATTTATTTCTTTTTCTTCAATTTGAGGCCTCTGCACTGAGGCAGAGTGTAATATGCGACGAATTTATCCATCTAATTATTGTGACGAATCGTCTGCAAATATTCTTTTAATGCTTGCCTCCATTTTAGCTGTTCCTATGCTTACCTTTCATGAGAAAAAAAATTGACTCAAAGATGACATGGCAACAAAAGATGGTAATTTAGCTCTAAAAATAAAAAAGGAATGAGATGGGAGTTGTCGCGATGCAACCTTTCAGATCGTCAATACCTTTTAAATCTGTATTGAGAACTGCGTGAAATTTTCGTATATTTTTTCTACTAACAATAAATGTTTGCTAAAGTCATTGAACCCTGTCAAGGTTTTGAATATGAGGGCGTTGCATTGTATGATTAACCACTGTTAAAGTCATACACACAAGTATTATTTTGCTGTTCACAAAGAGTTTAAAGTATCGGAGATGAGATGGAGAATACAGATTTGGTATCGAGAGTATCAATCGATATCCGAGATCAATAATGAAACAATACCAGAGACCAGTCATAGAGAAAAAAGGTGTGAATATTAAAGTGAAGTACAAAGAACAACAAATATTATAATTAACTTAGTTGTGAGAAAGACTACAAAGTCAGCAGTATGAACACAGTAAAACTTGAGACATCGAGTTCTACTATTAACGGGCATGTTACAACCAATCCGAAGTGATAAATGAATTAGGATCGGATCGGTACGATTGATAAAAGATTAGGATTAAATAGATATAATTAAGAAAAGATTTTGCATCAAATCGAAACAAATGATGACAGATTTTGAATCAAATAGATACAATTGATAAAAGATTTCGGATCAAATAAATAGAATTATTCAAAGATTTCAGATCAAATCGATACAGCTGATAAAACATTTCGTATCAAATAGATACATCTGACAAATGATTTAGGATCAAAATGATACAATTGATAAAAAGATTTATATTCAAATAGATACAAAAATAAAAGATTTCGGTTCAAATAAATACAAATGGTAAAAGATTTATGATCAAATAGATACAGCTGATAAAATATTACGGATCAAATAAATACAATTGATAAAAGGTTTCGGGTCAAATAAATAGAATGAAAAAGAGTTAGGATCAAATCGGAAAAACTATTTCGGATCAAATAGATACAGCTGACAAATGATTTAGGATGAAATCGATGCAACTGATAAAAGATTACGGATCAAATAGATACAACGGATAAAAGATTTCGGATCAAATAGATACAATTGATAAAAGATTTTGTTTCATATAAATACAAATAATAAAAGATTTATGATCAAAGAGATACAACTGATAAAATATTACGGATCAAACAGATACAACTTATAAAAGATTTCGGTTCAAATAAATAGAATGAAGAAGTGTTAGGATCAAATCGAAACAACTATTTCGAATCAATCAGATACAACTGACAAATGATTTAGGATCTAATCGATACAGCTGAGAAAATATTTATGATCAAATAGATACAGCTGATAAAATATTACGGATCAAATAGTTACAATTGATAAAAGGTTTCGGATCAAATAAATAGGATGAACAAATGTGTTAGGATCAAATCAAAACAACTATTTCGAATCAAATAGATACAGCTGACAAATAATTTAAGAACAAATCAATACAACCGATAAAAGATTTATGATCTAATCGATACAACTGATAAAAGTATTCGGGTCAAATCGGTACAATTAATAGATTTCAGATCAAATCGGTACAATTGATATAAGATTTCGGTCAAATAGGTGCAATTGTTAGTGATACAACTGATATCCCCAAGCTTGGGTTTTTGAGAGTTTTTAATAAAGAAAATATGCCCATCGGCATAGCTTCTCGTATGTAAGGCGGGTATAGATTCAAACTCTTCCAATGACCATATTATCTTCTCGATAATCGTTCTCTATTTTGTTTGAAAAACAGATGTCTCTACTTAGACAAAGAAAATGTACTGTGCTTTTCTAATAAGAAATACATGTCTGAGTAGAAGCTTTTATAAATACACATGTAAGGTGAGGCAGAGAGGACGGACGTTTTTGAAACACCAATGCGCGTAGGTGTTTAGCTAGCCGCCCTAGTAGACTGGCATCCTCGGAAACCAGTGACTGCGCCATTTTAGTTACGATTGTACGAATCTTAAAATTTTAAAGCATACTTAAAGAGTTGAGAGTTGAGTTACTAAAGGGAAATAACTGAAACTGAGATATGGACGTGGAACTAGAGCAATCTACCATAGTAATAAAGGGTTCAGTTCGAAATCTCAATCACCTGAAGAAGGCCGGAGCGTATAACGCCGAAACGTAGTGAATATGCCAACAAAGATGAGGACAACAGCCCGAAAAATGTAAAGAGTGTAAAAACATACATAAATACATAAATTGTATTGCAATATGGTTAATCAGTGAGAAATATATCTATTCCGAGTGAGAGGAGCTAGAAATTAGTTTGATGCCATAAAACTGAATGTGCCGTCAAAAGAATTAATTGTAAACTGTTTTATGGCTAGCCGCTCTGAAACAAAATCTCTTATAACTCGTAGACTAGAATGCTAGAGTCTTTGAATTTTATCTACTTCCATTCTTTCTTTGTTTCTTTGTTTTTTTTTCTTTGTTTCATTGTTTGTTTATTAGTTTTTTTTTTTTTTTTTTTTTGGTTTATTCCTTTGTTTCTTTATTCTTTTCTCTCTTTCTTTGTTTCTTTTTTCTTGTTTCTTTCTTTCTTTCTTAGTTTCTTTCTTTCTTTGTTTTTCTCTTTCTTTGTTAGCATATTTCTTTCTTTCTTTCTTTCTTTGTTGGCTTCTTTCTTTCTTTCTTTCTTTCTTTATTCCTTTCTCTCTTTTTTATTTATTTCTTTGTTTCTTTTTTTTCTTGTTTGTTTCGTCCTTTCTTTGTTAGTTTCTTTCTTTCTTTGTTTCTTTCTTTGTTAGTATCTTTCTTCCTTTCTTTCTTTCTTGCTTTCTTTCTTTCTTTCTTGCTTTCTTTGTTTCTTTCTTTGTTTCTTTAGTCTTTTCTATCTTTCTTTTTAATTTCTTTGTTTCTTTTTTTTTTTTTTCTTTCTTTCTTTCTTTCTTTGTTAGTTTCTGTCTTTCTTTCTTTGTATGTTTCTGTCTTCCTTTCTTTCTTTCTTCCTTTTCTTCCTTTCTTTCTTTCTTTCTTCGTAATGACTGTGAAGCCCAATGTGCTGACAAAATGTCCACCGTCAGTGGCAAACAAGATCCCCGATAACAGCAAATGAAACCGCTCGCGTTAGCGACAATGGCTCAAAACTACTTCCGAGTCAAAACATCTCACAACCACGCACCAGCCATAAGGCAGGAGCAAGAAACAAAATAAAACAAAACGGTTCCCACATTCACTTCGTTACGCGTTTCTCTGGCGTCTGCTTCTCATGTCTCGCAATGTCTCGCGTGACTTTCTTTTTCAAGTTGGAGTGAGGCGGTCTTTCGTTTCCGCATCAGACTGAAACGAATCGAAAGCTTGGAATCGTAACATGAACTAAGATTAATTATGAATAGTTATTGTGAATCCACCACAAGACTTATTAATATATATGTAGTTCCTGACTCATTACGATTTTTATACTCTGCCCTACTTAGCGTATTGGGCACTTAACGTTTTGCTTTTTTTTCTTATTTACACGATTGTGTTTTTTTTTTTTTCATTTGGACTAGAAACTATGGCACTGGACGATTTTTTGTCGGCCTCCTCGGATGTTTTTATTACTTTCTTTTTTTCAATTTTTTTTTTTTTTACCCAGATACCAATTTGCTTTAATATATTTTATTTGAAAATTGTATTATCCGTTTTTTACACCAACCGTGTATAGTCATTAACATTATACATAAATACACACACACATATAAATATATATATATATATATATATATATATATGTGTGTGTGTGTGTGTGTGTGTGTGTGTGCGTGCGTATATGTGTAAACAAAACATTAATATACGACCCAGTGTGTTTGAAAATATTAATTTTTAATTTTATTTTTATTGTTCAAAATATATATAGAGAGAGTGAGATTAATATATTTATTCGAAGTTATAAATATATATATATGTATTTTTATTATTGTCAATCGCTATCTACTGTAATCCTGATTATACTTTCCTCTTCCCGCTCATTAATAATGTTCCTATTCTTTATTCTTCCGCAGCATGTAACTCTTTGTGTCTTAGTGGCTTTACTGCCTTGGATGGGGTCATACCGAGTAAAAAAAATTTCAAAACTTTCCTTACTTACCGGGTTTTTTTCTGTATAGTTTAATAGTATTTATTTGTTTTTGTCCAACTTATTTTTAATTTCTTCTTTAGCTTTATCATTTTTTTAATCTCGTTTTCATACATTCCTTTATATATATATATGGAGAGAGAGAGGGAGGGAGGGGGCACGGTGGAGTAATGGATAACGGCTGGGATTGAGGAATCGAATCCATTACATTCACTTACGGCCTAATACCCTTGAATCCTGTTCTTCTCCCTCCAGCTATGGGTTCTATAGCCATGGATGGCAACTGATCTAGAAGGACAACTCTGAATTCAAAACCTTGTGGCACGTAGTGCACCAGGTCTCTGTATTCTGCCCTTCAAAAAGTGTGGATGGTTCTTCACAAAACCTTCACCACTTACTGGTGCCGAGCTGTCGGTTCCCAGCAACTGATCTGCTTGACCCTTTTCGAATTTGACGGAAGAGTCAGTATATATATATATATATATATATATATATATATATATATATATATATATATATATATATATAGAGAGAGAGAGAGAGAGAGAGAAAGAGAAAGAGAGAGAGAGAGAAATAATTAGTAGGATCTGAAATAATCATAATTAAGTAATTCATCGAGTCTAGAAGAAACCTCAACAGAATGCAGAAAGCAATGGACGGCCGTTTCGTCCCATATATGGGCATCCAGTACGGAGACTTGAAACCCGGATAGTTACGTTATCAGGCAAACCTCATATTAACGGGCCTCGGTGACGAGGAGATAACGGATCAGCCTCGATATAGCGCCACACGATCACATATTCCGTGGTGGAACTCATCCGAGTTTCTCTTTTACCCATAGGACTGTACGCCCACGAGCCACGACTACTATCATTAAGCCACTCCATCCAGAGCATGAGAAGCCGGTTCAAGTAAGGATATACAGAGATAAATCATTAGGAGGTTTTTAAGTAATCATAAGTAATTCATCAAATCTAGAAGAAACCTCAACAGAATGCAGAAAGAACTGGACGGCCGTTTCGTCCTATATTTCTGACTAATCATCAGTGCGTATCCACTACCGAGAATTGAATAGTTGATGATTATAGCTATCAGGGAAGCAAGTAAGAGGAAGGGAGTTTCACGGCCAGGAAGTGCGTCACATGAAAATATTGGAGAAAAAGAGACGGCTACATTTAACCGTTTCGACAGTGAAAGGGTGGGACTGAGATGCCAACCAAGTAGCCCGCTTAAATTCTTGCAGTTTGGGAACCAGTGAAAGTAGCTTGTCAGAGCAGTTACCGTGAAAGTATTTGTAGAAAAGACAGAGGGAAGCCGCATCACGTCTGTGAGAAAGTGACTGTAGACGAGATGACATATTAGGACCAATCACGTTGCGTATCCATCTCTGGATTTTGTCGAGGTCCTTGAGACGAGCAGCGTAGGCTCCAGACTATATTTGGTAACAGTATTCCATGGAAGGGCGAATGGTTCATTTATAGATTTGAAGGAAGAACTCGGACGAGGAAAAAAATTCTGGCACAACACAGAGAAATTAAATATTTTTACCATTGAAGTCGTATGGAAATGTTTTATCAGCAGTTCTACACCGACATACCTTGCTAAATTTAGAATGGTGATGATGCTCAAGCTTGACTCCAGGCTGTTATCTAATACTCTCATTGAGGTACTGATACTATTTTCGTTGCAGTAGTTGCAGGAACTCTCGATATTTTTAAACAGTAAAAAGGTCAGCATAGTATATTGTAGTATGCAGTTTCAGAAGTATAGCAAACGATTTACTATTAAAACTGCAGTTAGCGATGTTTTATGAGAAAGCATTTTTTTGGCTTCCTTTACGTGTCCAACAAAGCTAGAATCAAGATAAAGCGTTGATTCGAGCGGTTTTGTCTCGATAAAGACCTGGAAATGTGTCGAAGGGAAGGTGTTTTCATTAACTTGGCGTATTTACAACGTCGTGAACGCGGCAAAGATCAGATTTGGACATGACAAACACAAGATAAATAAAACTCAGCCCATGGCATGTTTTTTCTACTCTCTGTAATGGACACAGATAAACTGGAAATAAATAACGAGGAATGTTCATTACGATCTTTTACAGGGGTTTGATGCAAAAGTTTCCGACATTTTTTTTTTTACTAATATGTTAGTAATGAACAGAATCAATATCATCATACTATTTTCCAAGTTTCCATATATATATATATATATATATATATATATATATATATATATATATATATGTGTGTGTGTGTGTGTGTGTGTGTGTGTGTGTGTTTGTATATATATATATATATATATATATATATATATATATATGTGTATGTTTGTGCATATATATATATATATATATATATATATATATATATATATATATAGAGAGAGAGAGAGAGAGAGAGAGAGATCTTCCTAAATTTTCGCTTGAGGATGAAACAGGGCTTGATACTTTTAATTCAATTTCATTTTAATAATTATATTGAGGTTTTTGGTTCCTGTTTTTGAAACCTGAAAACTCTTATGTAGAGAAGGAATCATATTTTTTTAAATAATTATAATATATATATATATATATGTGAGTTTGTGTGTGTGTGTGTTTGTGTGTGGGAGGTGTGGGTGTGGGTTTTTTGTGTGTGTGCAAGTCTCGTTAAAACGACTGACAAGCGTCTGTGGTTATTTTTATGTAATCTTTCATGAGTTCGTATATTTTTTTTTTTTCAGGACATCTATTATATAAAAATTGTCCGAATATTTGATATATCCAAGCGCATTCGGCTATATTTTAGGCATTATCAAGGATGAATTTTATTTTATTCTTTATTGAATATATGGATTAATTTATGTATACATCTAGAGTTATAGTAATGTTTTATTTTCCAAACACGCACAGCACATTGCACCTGTGTTCATACTTGATGACCTTAAGTGTTAGCTTTTTCTTTTTTATAATATTAAAAATAATATATATATATATTAACTATTATATATATATATATATATATATATATATATATATATATGCCAATATCCTACACACACAGACGAGCATTTCAATAAAAGTTCTTATGCAATTGGTTACTTAATGAACCTTAAAATTTCATGGATAATTCATGTTTATTATACCGTCATCACCATTATTAAAACTATTGTTGTTTTATTGATGCCACATTATCTTGCACATTCCACAAAGTAGGAAACATTAAAACTATTTATAGACACACAAATTTAATCCTTGTATTTTGAACTTTTGGGGTTACCACTGAGATCATATAAAATTGAATCCCTGACACATGTACTACTTAAAAACCTTGTTGCCCTCCGTGACTTAGCCCTTTACTGTCATTAGCCACGTTCACTGAACTAAGACATTTCCAAATTTTGACAACACAATTTTATGATCATCAACTTTGGGCGCAGAAATGATTGTGCCTGATCACGTGATCATAAACAACAATGAGACTGTATTTTAAGCAGATAGCAATTTTACCGCATAAAACAGAAATAGTTCTGCACTTCAATTCAGATGCAAAACAGATCAAGGCATAGCCACACGTCTCAATTTAGATATGAAAATCATAGAAATGTGAAAAAAAAACTGTATCTAATTAAAAAATTTCTTATTTTTTCACCCGTGTGTGATATATATAAAAAACATACTTTCTTATATATATATATATATATATATATATATATATATATATATATATATATATATAGTGGAGTTGTAGTCAGAATATGAGTGAGCAAAATATAGATATATTTAAAGGGTATCAAGAAATAATTTTTCGCCTGGCAAGGAACTGTCATAATAACGAAAATATATATATATATATATATATATATATATATATATATATATATATATATATATATATATATAATTCTTATTTTCTTCTGAATATATATATATATATATATATATATATATATATATATATATATAATTCTTATTTTTTCTGAATATATATATATATATATATATATATATATA